CAGCGCTGCTCCAGACGCTCTCAGGAGACGTTCCCCTGCTTTCATAACAACGAAGGGCTTTTTTGTTTTCTGACTCATCTTCAGAAGATCTCCCCCTGCTTCGTTTGAAAGTAAATATAATTAGTAACAGGCAGACACACTGTATATAGCCAGCCCTGCCTATGCGAGAGAGTTATAATTAAACATGCATGCTGTCTGCTGTGCACTGTCGGCGAAAGGCCTTGCTGAAGTCACCTGTAGGGAGAGGGTTTATCTTGAAGCAGCAGCCTGGGGTGGGTGCTGCAGAGAGAGAGACCTGTCCCACCTTTGAGTCCAATGTCCAGTCCAAAGCTAGGACTGAGCTGTTGACCAAAGGGGAGGTGTGCCCATGGGCCCTCAGCCTGCCTTCGCCTCGGTTCTTCTCCGTTCTCAACCTTGGGCAGCCCTGGGGGACCCTGCGTGGTCAGGGTTGGGGCCGGCCCCTCTTGGGGACAGAGTGATGGTGGCCAAGTATGGTTGTCATCGTAACTAGGTGGCTGCTGCCACTGCTGTCGGCTCAGGAGGCACCTGCCTGCCTGCAGGTTACGATCTGCCCTCCCCAGGCTGGGGAGCCAAGATCACTCGCCTTTGTTCCCAGCTCCCTGCCCGGGATGCTGGCAGCAAAATCTAAGCCCCGCCCTGCAGGGCAGGAGCTCAGGCAGGTTATCCCCAGGTGACCCTCGGCCCTTCTTCCTGGCTAAGGGTAGGTTGGGTGTTTGGAGGCCACTGTCCAGGCCCATAGAGAGCTCAGATTCTGCTGAAACCAGTGGCTCAGGCAGCCCCAGGAACACGCACACACCTTGTGGGCAGATTCTGGGACCGCAGCATGACCAGCGGGCTTGGTGACACAGGCTTGGAGACATAGGAGAAGCTGCTGTGCCTCCCGCCCCTCTGGAGGGTGCGGCGGTGACCGGATGACTAGTTGGCACAGCACTTTCTTGGCCTGGATCGAATGCAACAGGTGTCATCTGAGCCCCGGGCACCTTTCCCCAAGTTGCTCAAAGTGTTTTCCGAGCAAACAGTTGTTTCATAACACCCGTGAGAAGTAGGTGGGGTGACAAAGCATTCTTTGTCCCTGTCTTGCAGATGGGGGAATTGAAAAGCTGCCGGTCCTGATGGTGAGGCCAAGAAAGGGAGAAGGTGCTCTCCTGCCCGGGGCTCTGGGCGTGGACTGCCGGGGCCAACTCGTGCCCCGTCACCAACTCCTGTGGAAAGTGGCGCAGCCCCAGCAGAGAAGGAGGCCAAAAGTGGAAGAGGCCCGGGGCTTTTCCCTTAGCACTGGAGGCCTCAGATGCAATGGCAGGAGCTCGGCCGTGGGCCTCACTGTCTGAGGTGTTGAAACTGGCCATTGGCAACTCGAGAGTTGTTGGTGCTTCTCCTGCTCAGCTTGCTTGAAGTTACTGGACGCTTGGAGGGATCAACAGATGCTTTTTGAGCACACTGTTCTGGCCCAGGAATTGTTCCATTCCAGTGGTAAATGAGGGGGATGTGACCCTGCCTTTATGGTGCTCATAGGAGACAGTCAACACACAAAATTAAGAAGAAATCATTTCAGAGAGTCACATGCTATAAGGACAATAAAAATGCATAAGGGGACAGAGATTGGCTAGAGGGGAGGGTAGGAGAGGAGGAAAAGAGAACAGTGAAATCGCAAGATCACTTGAGCACGGAGTCTGAAGCTGCGTGAGCATACACCACCAACCTACGAAATGCAAAATCACATCACTTCTCACACCTGAGCGCTTAGACAACCCGGTCTCTACAATAACACATAATACCAGGAGCAGTATTCACCATTAAATCACTCAGCCTTTGGGACTACCAGGGGGATGGATCACCTGGAGTCCGCGAGTATCAAGCTCAGCCTGCGCACATGTGAAACCCCGTCTCATCACTAATCGATACACCATACTACTAGCTCGGGCGGCTGCGTGGACGCCCTGTCATCCAGCTACTCGCGAGGCCTGAGAGCAGCCCCACTGCTGCAACCTGCAGAGGGCGCGAGCTTGCTGCGCGAGGTCGACACCACTGCCCTCCGACCTGGCACGAGCGAGACTCCATCTCAAAATAAAAGCAAACACCTCAAATAAAATAAAATAATAGTA